AACATGACATATGCAATACGTAGGAAATGCATGCGGAGGCGACCACATACTTCTTGATTTGTCAATTGTGGCTAACAACCCATGTGAACGGTATGAGATCATACAAAGCCCATCTTGAGTGACAACATTGGTCCAGAAGGGAGAATTGAATAACTTAATCTTACCTCTAACGAGTATACTGATTACGAAGATTAAAACTTCTTAACCAATACTTCTTTGTCAATGGTTTTATTTAATGTTTATGGTGTTCGTAAGGTTAGTCGTATTTACTCCTTATGTTAATGTATTAAGTTTGTAGTTCTTTTCTCCCTAATGTGTATTTCTGAAAGTCTAATATAATGTATTAAGTTTGTACTTCTTTTAAAAAAAATCTAATAGAACTTGTCACCTAAACGTGACGAGTTTTATGTGTATTTTTTTCTTTCCAACCTTAAATTCACATAATAATCTGGAAAAAAAATTGTTTAATAGAACTCGTCACCTAGAGGTGACGAGTTTGGCAAGAAATATTAAAATATTGAGCGTGAAATATAAAAATTATATCCCATGAAACTCGTCACCTCGACATGACAAGTTCGCCCTGGACTGTAAAAAATGTCGTATATCCCAAATTAATTTTTGAGGTGCCCTTGGGCAAAAAAAAAATCAAAGATCATGGGTTGTTTGGGCAACAAACACTATTAGAAAAATGATGAATTGTTGGATTCGGGTAACTTGATGCTCCATGAGAGGTTTATGCTACTAATATAATAGGTTTGTTGGTTGGCAAATTAGGCAAGTTTGTCTTTGACAACATATATGTATACTTGAAAAGAGAAGATGGGTCGTTTGGGCCACAAACACTATTGGAGAAATGACAAATTGTTGGATTCAGATAACTTATGCTTAATGGGAGCGATAGAAAAACGCTTTGACAAAGTTTTAGCTAGACGCTCGATGGAAATTTGAAGAGCTTAACGCACTCATTATAGATGATCTAGAATCTATTATTCGTACTATACCCTCTTTGACGTTAATTAGACTTTATTTTATAAATTCTTAATATATATATATGTAAGTGATAGAGTGAATTATAAATCATTCAGATGACAAAGCTAATCTATATATCATTCAGACGATAGAATCGATCACATATTATTGATACAACAAAGTTGATCATATATTAAAATTAACATAAGTATATTCAAAGAAATATTATGAGTTTAGGTTTCAAAAAAATAAAACTAATTAAAATATAAATGATATTTTATTAAAAAAAACCCCCAAAAATAATGTATTTTTTAACTATTTTTACACTTACATATTTATAACTCAAAGGGTAAACGACCTAACAATGAAATAACAAATCTAACTGAAAACCAACTAATAATAGAAATGACAACACTATTTGTCGTCTAACATTCACCCCCACTTTCTAACTTTTTAAATTTTTACTTCAAAAAATATGGGTAGTTGGATTTTCAAGTTGCTTGAAGTTGAAGCACTAAATGCAAACATACTAAACTGCTGAATGATAACATCTGTGTGAAAACATCTTTAGTTGACAACAAGTTGGTTAGACAAAATTTCGATCGAACCAAACATTTTTTTCATCGCTTACCATTCTTCAACATTCATTCAGATTTATTTTCTTCACTATTTTTTGTCACTTATTCGAACTTTCGTTTTGTTGGAAGCAATGTGGTCAAGCTACGAGCTTCGGATGCAATTTGAAGCCTCTCTTGAACAAGAAAATAAGTGTTTTGTCTAATTAAGGAAAGCAAGACGGTTAAACACTTAAACCCTGCGCAGATGTTTTCTTCCACGAAAAACTTGGCTATTAAGCTTCAAGTTCCATGTGTACCTTCGAGAAGAAGTAACAGCTGAAAAAGAATATCCAATGAACACCTTAAAATGATGTGTGAACTAAGAATCGAAAATAAGATGCACAACTAGGGGTGTAAATGATTCAAACTTGAACGAATAAGACTATGTTCGTGTTCGTTGTTTATTTTTAAAAGTGTTCGTGTTCGGTTCGTGTTCGGTCATTTAACGTTCGTGAACGTGTTCGTTTAATGTTCGTGAATGCGTTCATTTAATGTACGTTTAGCGTTCATGAACATGTTCGTTTAACATTCGCAAACATATTAAAAAATGTTATCAAACAAATAGAAAAGAACAAATTAAATAGAATCGCCTAATAAAACATATATAACATCCACAATAACAAAATACAATCTTAAAACATCTAGCAAAATTTAAAAACATCCATAAACATTTTCATATTAAAACATCAACCAACATATCACATTTTAAAACATACTTGAAAATAAAATGGAACAACCAAATCAGACATAATAGATTACTGTAACTAATGGGTCAATCCCAGCACAATCAACAGAACGACAAAATCATATAGCATCAGAAAACCCAAGATACATCACTTCAACTAGGAGCAAACACACGAACAACAAGTGACAACAACTCAACAAAATATGATCGTCACATAGTGAACGACACAATCAAAACAACAAAAGAAAGTGGCAGGCACAATCAAAATACCCTCTTAAAACGTCAAATCACCTGCAAAATCTAAGGGATAGAACCAAACATAAATAATTAAAAGATAAAAATATAACAACAACTTGAAAGATATCTAATATTAAATTGTATTGACAAAAAAATCAAATTGGTGCAAGAAAATTAAATACCTTTGAAATTAATCAGAATTATACTTCAAAGTAAAGAAATCTATTTAATTTCTTCTTTGTTCTACATAAAAAATTAAAATTAAACGATCAAATTAAAAAATATTAATTAAAAATTACTTACTTTAGATTTCTTTTTCAACCCATGAAAGTTTAGATACCAATCGAAACCACAAAATAACATTTGCACCGTATCAATTCTTAAAGATGAACAATATGCATCAATCACTTTACCACCAACACTAAAAGTAGATTCCGAGGCAACTGTAGTAATAGGAATAGACAAGATTTCACAAGTTATTTTTGATAAAATTTGAAACTAGAGATTATTAACCTTCCATCACTTAAGGAATCAAAATCACCACAGTTTTTCTTACAAATGAACACTCCTTTTTCCACGTATATATCTAGTTCAGACTTCACATTATCAATTGCGTAAACAGTTCGAATATATCTTGTCCCTTTAAAGTTATTTGACGTTTTACACAACCATCCAAATGTCTTTTAAATTGTGTAGTTGTACCATCCTTGTTCTTTGTAAGTTTAATCTTACAATGATTACACTGTACTTTTTCGGTCCCATTAGGAAGCATAACTATAGTCCATTCTTGTCAAATAGTTGATGTCTTTTTTTCTATTTCTCCTCGTATATGTGCCACAGCATCAATATCATCCAAAGACTGAAGCTCCTCAAGTGTTGGTTTTTCATGAGTAGTACCTCGAGCATTGGAAATTTCACTTCCTTCAGTGACATCCATCGGTGATGAAGAACCAGTACACAAATAATGACCTTGTTTTGAAGTATAAGACATACCTAAAAAATAAATAAAAATTAAATAGTATTAACGGATAACACCTCATATAATAAACATGCTCTATAAAAGCAATAATGTATATTGCTTTAACAAGGCAAAAGAGAATAGTATACCACAAATAAAGATATGAAAATGTCTTTCTCGAACTCTTTTCGGCCTCCCCGAATCCCATTTTTTTGGAGAGACTGTTAGAAAGAGTTGGATCGTATAAGAGGATACATATTACTAATATATGGGGAAAAGGAAAAGAGAACTCTTTATATAACTTCAAAAAATAAAAGTCAATTATTTGTGATGATTGATGAAGTTGAACAATAAAATATATCAAAAGTTGCAAGTATGAATATCAAGAATCCTGAGCACCTCCTGATGCAAAAAAAATCATATTACAAATTATAAATAGTTGGTTTGAGATGATAATCCAATAAACATGTGATGGGGAAACCAAATTTTAGGTTGGAAACTAGATTTTAAGTTTGAATCCAGATTTTAGGTTTGATAATCTCATAAGCTCAACCGAAAGAATCAACGGATTATCAAGCTATCCATACGTTCATACTTTATACATTAAGCACAACGTCTCCTCCCCATGTACTTAGTTATGTGGCTTTTAGATATATGAAATATATAACATAGCTCTCATAAGATAAAAAGGGCACTCCTCTTTGTCCTTTCGAACTCACTTACTCTTTTACTCCTATTAAAGAAAGATCATCTAAAATAAATTTTAACCACGGTTTTAAATAGCGTTTTCGGTCACGTTTTCGGTCGCGTTACGTTTATCGCGGTTGCGGACATAACGGATGCCATCGCGTTCACTGCGGGTGTCGCGGTCGTGAATTTTTTTAAATTTTGCACAACTTATATTAAAACATAATAAAAATAATTATAATTATAATTATAATGAATCATTTTAATAATTTTTAAAATATTTTCTAAGCGAAATTGACATATATATATAATATAGTTTAACAAAGAAAACAAAACAAAAACGTAAACAATGTAAATTATTTGATTTTTTAGGCTTTTTTAAGTAGGATATTTATTTATTTTAAAATATCAGAATATAAGGCCTAAAATAAAATAGTTCAGAATATTAAAATATAGAATTAAAATGACTAAAATATAATAAAATAAAATATAGAGATCAAAATAAAATAATAACAGTAAGTAGATTATAAATAAAATAGTGACCAAAATAAAAGAAAATAAAAATATCACAGCTAATTTTTGAAATAAAAAAATATAAATGAGTGATTAAAATAAAACTAATGAAACTAGAGTATTATATTCAAAATAATTAAAAACATGAGGAAGGGGTGACTATTTCATAAAAAGGTGCATAAATATTAGGGACCTAAGAAGGATTAATCCTAAAACTTCTTAATAAACACTTCAACAAAATATAAGATAAATTATCATGATCAGACCTTATGATTCAGAATAAAATTCATAATAGTCCAAATTCAATGACAAAAATACAAATATGTGGCTAAAGATGAGGGATTTAAAATAAATTAATCCAAAAATAAATTAATATAACCTAAAACAATACCCATGTGGCCCTGTCTGCACTTCATCTCTTCTATTTCTCTCCCTCTCCATCTCACGAACGCAGCTCCCTCTCCATCTCACGAACGCCGCTCACCATGGAGGCTCCAAGCCTCTCGATCGTCGGCCACTGTTATTAACGGTAGATAACGGTAATAACGTCATGTTATCGGCGCTATTCACCGTTACCCGTTAGATTACGAACGCAATCGACCGATTTTGGCGTGAATCCGCTGCCTATCGTGATTTTCCCGGATTTCGGTTTCGGACGGCGGCGCTACCGCGAAATAGCGGACGCTATTGCATTTTCGTCCCGCTATTTTAAACCCTAATTTTAACCGAATAATAATTTTTCATCTAAATAAAAAAGAATAAATCCCTGATTATCAATTAACTTTTCCAATTTTTCATAGGTTATTCACTAGCACAGTATCACTTTTAGATTTTAAGTTTGATTTGAAATATAATAAAACTATTAAAACTTAATTAAGTTTCATTTACATTAAAAAAACACTCAATAATCGATTCTAACACTTGTTCGAACTCATGCCAAAACTAGAACCGTAACTTTCAAAGAGTAATTAATTAAGAGTTTCAGGCGAACTCAAATAACTCGCAAGTACAATCCGTTTACACAGATAAAGATAACGTGAAGGAGAGAAAGTTGCAAAAGCCATAGAGAGCAGGAGAGAATATCCAGAAATAGAGGGATTAGAAATACCTTTTCAATTTTATAAGAAGAAATTGAAGGAGAGAAAGTTGCAGAAGTCATAGAGAGCATCCACCGATGAAGTTATCTGAAATTCAACGAGATTTTACCAAAAGAAAAAGAGAAGTATCAGTAAAATAGAGGAAAATCTTATAAACCAAATCAAAAAAAATTCTTACCTGATTATTACCACATTCGAACAAGAAAATGAACGAAAGCTTAAGATTTGATAGAACAAATGAGAGTTTAGGGTTTGAGGGGGGGGGGGAGAAAGGAAAAGAAAGCATAAAAGAGATAACCGGCTGGAAAATGGTTTTTGTGTTACAATTAAGAGAAAATGATAAAATCATATAATTGGTGCTTAAATTTCTTAGAATTTATTACTTAAACTACATATTTTACCCTGTATTCAATTTAGTATATACCTTCACTAATATTTAAAATATAAAAAAATTAAACAAACTTATAAACGAGTTTGTTCATGAACATATAAACTAGCTTATAAACGAGCTCAAAAATGGGCTTGTTCGTGAACATAAACAAACCGAACGCACATCTATTCTTCTTCATTCATTTATTAAACGAACATAAACAAATGTTATACGAACTATTCACGAACAGTTCACTGAACACTCTGTTCAACACAACCAACAAGAACAAAACAATAAATGCACCAACCTAATTCAGTTGTATCATGCACTCAATAACCAACTTAGATCAAACAATCAACTACTTGTAACTGGCTAACAACAATATAAGAAGCAGCACGTCACTAAAGTATATTGAACCAGCAGATCCATATTAAACGAGAGGTCGAGATTCAAATCCAACAAATACTTTGTAAACATTTCTTCAATAGACTTCTGCTACTAAAATGGTCAATATTGGAACACAGGCCTTATCAACGAAACTCAACACAAAATGCCATTAATGCACTGTAATCAACACTCACCTATAGTACTATAGTGAAAGAATGAACAATCCAACCAGCACAAACTTTAAACATCTCCTCAATAGACTTATGCTACTAAAATGGCCTGGTCAATATTGGAAACGAAGACATGAAATTGAAAACCTAGAAAAAAATGATCCATGAGAGTGGGGACAAATTGAGAGATGTACCAAATCAGTAAATTGAACAAATCATTCCTTAGCAGCAGTGATGACGTCCAAGCAGGGATAGACTAAGGTAATCTAAAATTATCATATATTTTAGATTTTTTATATGTATTTTCTATTGAAAATTTGTTTTCCCTCTAAAATTTTATAAGTTCAAGTTTGTTCCCTTAAATTTTATAAGTTCAAATTCGCCCCCAACATAAAATCTTGCGTCCATCCTTACTTCCAAGCATCGATTGGGGCGATTGACTTTGGAACAGAAAATCAACAGTAGTGACGACTTGTAAGATATGATGGAGTGGAAGCATCTCCAAGGCTGTCGGAGACAAGCTGGAACACCAAAAAGTTTTCAGCCTTTAAGGGAAGAAGAAAGGCAACAAAAATCAGCAGCGATGAACTAGATCTAAACGAGGTAGATCAAAAAATGGAGCGGCAGACTAAACAAGGTCTCATGCAGTAGCAGTAGATGAAGCAATTGCTGGCACCAATAACGGCAACGACAACAACAAAGGAACACGGTAAAGAAAGACAGCGGCAGAAGAAATTTCGTTAACAAATAATACCATGTGAGCAAGCAACCATGAAGGCCGAAAGTGACGAACGTTTGGTGATCGGAGTTGATAAGCGTGGAAGGAAAGGAGGCAATAAAAAATACTATGAGTTTAGGGTTTAAAGAAATAAAACCGATTGAAATATAAATGATATGAAAAGACAATGTCTTTTTACACATTTCTAGAATTACATATTTATAACAAAGGGTAAACCCCAACAATCAAATTACAAACACTATAAATAACATTTTTTTTAAATTCAACCATTTCACATCACTCAATCTCCTTACAATAACGGATGCTTTATTTTATACTTAAATTCTTAATGTACCATAATATACCTTCTTTCACGTATAACTGACATTCAATCTCCCTAACAATCACAGATGCTTTATTTTATACTTAAATTCTTAATGTACCATAATATACCTTAAATTCTTAATGTACAATCACTACAGCAGAATTGATCTATAGCGGCGGTTTTAGCCTTATATCTACATTTTAAAATGCCGCTAAAAAGGCTTCCGATGAAAAAAAGCGTCGATAGAACAACCACCACAACTGTTAGTGGCGTTTATGAAAACAATATGCCATAAAAGGTTAAGATATTTAGCGGCGTTTTGGGAACAAACAAAGCAAAAGTAAGGTCATTTAGCGGTATTTTGGGAACAAACACAACTAAAGGATAGGTCTTTTAGTGGCATTTTGGGAACAAACACCACTAATTGTCATGACAAATAGCGACATTTTTTATAGTAAAACGTCGCAAAAGGTAGGTAATTTAGTGGCGTTTTTAACTGCAAACGCCACAATTGTGTAGCCCATTAGTGGTGTTTTTCATCTTAAAGCACCGCCAATGAAACATGATTTGCATTTTCTACTATTTGTTACCAAAATATAATTATATCATGTAGCATATCCAATAACAACATCCTTGAAATTTAATCGCGACTAGAATTAAGTAAAAATACTTAACATAAATAAATCAAAGTTTACAAACATTCAAGTGAAATGTAATGTACTTCAACATCATTAACTAGAATAAACAATGGCAAGAATACTTTGAGCAATGCAAATTCTAGCCATTGTTATAGTTAGCAAAGTCATCATGTCACCGCCAGGAAAATACACCATAATAGATACTTAGCATCTTGAAAACAATAATAGAGTTTCACAATGAAGTGACATGGTTTATACAAAAGCCGCAATATGAACAATCTTAGTGGTGTTTATGTTGTAGACGTTAAAAATATCGTTATAAACTCATCTCGTTGTAGTGAATAATACTTTTGTTGTAAGGCGAACCATATATTATTAGGCAACAAAGTCAATTACAAATCATTTAGGCGATAGAATGAATCATATTAGACAACAAAGTTGTTCATATATTAAAATTGAAACAAGTGCAATCAAAACTTGAAACAAACTAAGATTTGATCAAAAAATTTACAATTATAAAAGAATATGACACTTTTATGAATATAAAATATAATTACAGCATTACACAATTACCTAACTATTTTCTCTTCTATACTTTTAACCTTTTTTTTTCTTCTAACTTCCACTCATTGCACTTTTTTCCTTTATTTTTCACTTTACAAGAATGATAAATTTCACTTCTATTTATAGATTTCAGTAGTCATTAGATTGTTGACACACATCAATATCTTAGTCATTAATCTTACAAATATATAAATTCTTCCATATATAATTCTAGATATAATACTAAATATTATAAATATTTAGATTACTTTATGAATATTTTTATATTATTTTAAAATATTTTAAACATATATATATGTAATGATACTTATAAATTTTCTTAGAATTTTTTTAAAGGTGAAATTTTAGAAGGATATATATGTCATGATATTTACTTTAATATTTTTATATTATTTTAAAATATTTTTATATAAATTTTATTAGAAGTTATATTGACTTTTGACAACATCAATAAACCAGACATAAGTTATGGAATGAATGAGGATTGTCTAAGGAAAGACAAACTAATATAAGGCTAAAAACGACACAACTGAAAATTTTAAAAGAGTCTTAATAAAATTAATTTAGCGCAACTGGAAAGGTTGACTTATATGTAATATATTAGGTTTTAACTATTTTAAAATAATATAAAATGGTATAACCGAGAAACTTATCTTATTGGTAAGTATCAATAACAAAATTATTTAAAGCTGGAAATGTAATGAATATCTATAAGAAATCTGGTAATGCCCAAGAATATTATCGCTTGCTAAGAAAGTAAGTTGTGATATGAAATGTTAATTTTCTTTATAATAAAATCGGTTGCACCTAAAATATTATCAGCATTAGACATTCTCACGATAACAAAATAAGTTAAAAGCTGAAAATGTTATGAGTATCTATAAGAAATTCAGTTGCGCCCAAGAATATTAAGGTTCACCAAGAAAGTAGGTTGAGATCTGGAATGTTCATTTTCTTTTTAATAAAATTAGTTGTGCCTAAAATATTACCAGAGTTTCAGTCGACGATGTCATTCTCACAATAACAAAATAAATTAAAATGTTATAAGCATATATAAAAAAATCAGGTTGCACCCAAGAATATTATCAGCCGCTAAAAAAGTAAGTTGAAAATTGAAATGTTAATATTTTGTGTAATAAATTTGGTTGCACCTAAAATGTTACTTCAACTTTGAATAAAATATGTTAAAAGCTAAAAATATTATGAATATCTCTAATAAATTCGATTGCGCCTAAGAATGTTATCGGTGAAAAAGTATTAATATTTATTAAGAGTGAATCAAGATAAAAAAAAATTAAGAAAGCAGTTTTAAATTTTAAATATTGATACCTTAATATATGATGATTGATACATTTAAATATTAAAAAAGTTAAAGATAAAATCGAAAGTTAAAATATCGATATTTATGTGGTAATTATCGATACTTTTAAATATTGAAAAATTTGATAAAAAGATTGAAATCTAAAATATCGTTACTTATGTCTTATGTGATGATGATCGATACTTTTATGTATGGAAAAAGTTGATGAAGATGATCGATAGTTAAAATATTCATATATATATATATATATATATTATGATGTTCGATATTTTTTCATTTATATCGATACTTGTGCTTTGATATTTGCGGAAAAGTTTGATACTTTGCTACATTCTTATTTTCTATTTTTTAAAATTCGAAAGTATTGATACTTTGTAGCCTTCTAATTTAAAAAATATAGAAAATGAGAAGGTTGCAAAGTATCGATACTTTCAAATTTAATATATATATATATATATATATATATATATATATATAGAAAATGAGAAGATTTCAAAGTATCGATACTTTTCCACAAATATCAATACTTTCGAATTTAAAAAAAACATTGAAAATGAGAATGCTGTAAAGTATCAAACTTTTTCACAAATATTTGAGCATAAGTATCGATATAAATGAAAATTTTCGAACATCATTATATATGTATCGATATTTTAACTATCGATCATCTTCATCAATTTTTTTCAAAATAGAAAAGTATCAATCATCAATTTTTTTCAAAATAGAAAAGTATCAATCATCATCGCATAAGTATCAGTATTTCAAATTTCGA